TTTTAGACTACTTTTGGTTTTAATTGAGACTTGTTGTTGGTTTGAAAATGATTTCTACTTTTAAACTAAAGTGTGGTTTTGTTTTCTCTATGGATTCTGAGTAGTTTTCTTTATCTCTCTTCTTAAAATAATAAGTAATTAAAAGTTTGATGGAAGTTGTGGAGACTATTGATCTTTAATTTTGGAAGAAGTTATGATGATTTAAATCCATGTACTTCATTTACTTCTTGATTTGGCCAATCCATATGTTAAAATTTATTGTGAGAACATGTAAGAACTGGGCTGGTATTGTCCCAGTCAACAATTAGAAAGAATCGCATGAGGTTGAATTTAGTTCATATGATTGAGTGCAAAAAAATAAGGAAATATTCATTGAAGGGTGTAGAGTTAGAGGACTTTAAAGTGACAGGTTAAAGCCCCCAACTTGGTTTATTATTTCAGGTTCTGATATGAGATGTTAGCCCCCAGGTGGAGGGATTGACAGAACTCTAGAGTTAGAGCTAGTATCTTCCCTGCCTAGCCGGTCTTCAGAAATATTCATACTTTAAATTAGCCAATGTTCTTTATAGCATCTCTAATAAGGGTAAACAATATTATTTCTCTTATTTGACACAACACAATATGCATACTTCCGCAACTGAATTCTTATACTTATTTTTGATGCATGATAAGGAGAAAGTTATTTTCATATTTAGTGCTTTTCTTCTACAAAAACTCAAGTTATCTTCTTATGTTTTTTCTGTTTTTGTCAAAATATTAAAATTACCAAAAATATTTAAAGTTTCTTTACTGCAAAAATGACTTTAGTCTAAATAATTATCTTTTTAACAATAGAAAGTTTTCCAAAAAGTGCATATTACATATCTTTCTTGTGGGTTCGATATTCAGGTCTTAATAAAAAAGTCCTTTATTACTTGATAACGATATGATACTTGCGTAGTATCCCAATAGATATAAATTAAAAGTTAAATTCTTATTTTTCTTCAAGATCAATTTTTTGGTTTTGTTGCGAAATAGGAAAATATAAGTGAAAAATATAATTAGAATTATTGTTATACTGTTGCATATAAGCAGTTTCGGAATCAAGTTTTTGGAG